TGAAAAGTGAAAAATATTTTCCTAGCTCTCTGAAAAATTTGACGTATCAAACATGGTCTTACTCTTGAATAAATTACTATAAAAAGATACTTTTAAAGTAAATAATGCTTTTCACTTTTAAAAGCACAACGATAATTGAAATTAAAAAGTTTGTAGATGAAGCAAGATTGAACTTGTCCCAAGCTGTTGTCATTGTATTATCTTGGTTATTAACTTCATATAAGACGAATTAGTTTTAATTTTTAAACAGTTTATTTTTGTTGCTCAATAAATTATAGCGATGAGCAATGGAAGAAGAACAAGATCCCACCTTGAGTGATTCGGCAAATTTGGTTCTACCAAAGGCTATCCTATTACATGAATTATGGATGTTTGTTGTCTCAACCATTCGTTTAGTCCCATCTCCTATTAATAAATTTGTGCATGCCTTTTTAGTTGATATTATTACCAATATTCGATACTGGGTCAGCGTTTCCACATGGTAGAACCTTCTCGAGGAATGAGATTAATTATTCAAATTGTGCTCAACAAGATTTATGGTGTACATTCATTTATTGCTAGATCAGCAATGTCTCGTTCAGTGTTTTCACTTTACAAAGTGAACTCATCAATTGACTTAAGCCCATGTTTTTCAGAAATTAAAATTCAGATTTTAATATAAGTCAAAATCAATAATTAATTTTATTCACACATTCCATGGACACAACTTTGTCAACCACACATTTCATGGGACACAACTTTTATCAAATTCTATTAAAATTTTGATTTTAATCTCCATCAAACAAAGGCTAAATTATTGAAACATAAAAATGCCTAAGCTCTCTGTATTTTTTTTGTTTCATCATTTTCTTATATATAATTTCTGTCTATGGTGTAGAGGAAGAGATTAAGATCTACGAGCTCGATAAAGATGCTTTATCTGTAAAATTGATAAGTTTTGGTCCTAGGATAATTTATGTTACTCATCCTAATAATAATGGTTTTTTTTATTTTTTTTGGCCTCTTCTTGAAAATACTTGGTCTTTCTTTGATAAAATCATTTTTGCTTTTTAGGATAATTATTTGGAAAAAATTTACAACTCAGGCTTTATCAATCCCAAAATAAAAAATAAGCCCCAAAGTTTAGAATTTCAAAAATCAGGTTTTTCATGCATTAATTAATTATATTTCACAATTATTATATTAAATTAAATATTTAACTGTAAATTCTGTAATATAATATAATTAACCCACCCCACCCCACCTTTCAGTGACTACTCCTGTAACCGACGAGCACTCTGACAACTGTTCTCCAGTCATATATAAAAAAATTTATAGGTCACGGATTATTTCGAAGTCATAGATTTAAAATTTTTAGGTCACAATTTTTTTTTTCGGTCATAAATCAAAAATTTTATAGGTCACAGATTATTTCGAGATCACAGATCGACCAAATGGATAGTCACATATCACATATCACAGGTCACAGATCGACCAAATAGATGGTCACAAACACTTCGACCCATCAGCGCACCCGTCCCCCAATCCCAATACACCAACAATATTCTGTCACAGATCATAAAACGACCAAATGGTTGGTCACAGATACTTTATCCCATTTGCCGCCGACTCTAATCCTTACAACACCCACCAACAAACACCACCAACCACCACCGCCCAAACCACTACCGTCGTCGCCTGAACAGCACCACCATCATCACCCCATCACAACACTACCCCAATCACCGCCATAATAATAACAAAAAACAACCATCTCATCGCCGTCCTCAGCAC